TTGTTTGCTTTTGTCCTGTGACTTTCACATTTCCTCTTCAGCTATCCTAAAGAGAATCGGATGATGGCGAGGCATTCACTCTGCAGTGGCTGGGACAGATTTTGCACAAACTCTGTCCCGTGGAGTGGAAAGGACTAGAAAATATTCCAGAAGGTAGACTGTGCCAGGTTTGGTGCAGTCAGGTGGGACCATTGGAGAGTCATAGACTGTACAGTGACAGTTTTATCCCTTAGCAGAGCTGCAGTTAATCTAGCACCTGAAGAAATTTGAGTCATTTAACCTGCGGAAAGTTGGCCCTTGGCACCTTCAGGGTCTGCATTTATGCATTCCACATTCATAGATAAAGCTAACTGTAGACCAGAATATTTGGGAAGAAAATTCTGTACTGAGCATATACAGACTTCTTGTTGTCATTTGTCCCTAAACATATAATCACTGTTTGCCTAGCATTTACATTATATTAGGAATTACAGGTAATTTAGAGATAAATTTACAGGAGGATGTGCATAGGTTATATGCAAACACCATGCCATTTTGTGTGGCGACCGTGATAACTACTACATTACGGAAACCGATTCCATGACATTTTGTATCAGGGACTTGAGCATCCTTAGATTTTGGTATCTGCTGGGTGGTGTGTGTTTTGAGGGGGCAGGTCCTGGGATCAGTCCATAGTTAAAACTGAATGCTTGATAATAGTAGATAATATATGAGATGAGTAGTATTTGAATGATAATATCAAAACATAAAATGGTAGTAATATAGGAGAACCTGTAGAAATATAAAAGGTAGAAAATGTTGAAGAGTGAGAAGACCCTTTCTCTTCCCCTACCCTTCTTGGTCTAGGATGATGGTGATTTTAAAAAATGGGGCGTTACCTGCCCTACCTACCACTCCTTTTCTCTCTTTTATCTCTTTGTTCAAAGTAATTTAATTAAATTACCAAAAATTATTTTAGTGTGGTCCACAATTGGGTAACTGTGTCTTACAGTTTATTAAAAATAACAGATTTTCCCCTCTATTTCAGGATGTTGTAGCAAGAACACAGAGAGATGGGTTTCATATCTTTATTGTTTCTGTTAAGACAGAAAAAACAGATGCCAGCTGGAATTTGAATGGTATAGTTAAACTGCATGCACATTTATTCACTGTTTGCATTTTATGTGTCCTGTATATTTTATCATTCAACTAAATGTCCATTTTTTGTTAAAAACATATCTTTCAGAAATGGATTTCTGTTGGGTACACATTTTGAGAACTTAAGACTAATTTTTTGGATGAATTGAAATGTTTGTTGTTAGCTGAAGATAACTTTTTAGAAATCAGTTTATTTCTAGCCAGGCCTGGTTGCACACACCTGTCATCTCAGCTCCTTTGAAGGCCAAGGCATGAAGACTGTAAGTTCAAGCCTTGCCTAGGCAATTTAACAACTTAGTGAGACCCTGTCTCAGAAAAATAAATAAATAAATAAATAAATAAAGCACTGGGGATATAGCTAAGTTTGAAGGCCCTGGCTTCAATCCCTAGTACTGCTAAAACAAAAGCAAAAAAATTTCAATGTTTTATAATTATATATATTTTTATAATTTCAAACCACATAGTATGATATAAAATATTCCATCCTTTCAGATTTTAAAAAATTTAACATACAGAAATGATTAAATATCTTAATTGTATTTGAAGTAGATTATATTCTTTTTTGAAAATGGCTATCATTGGGGGTTTCAGATGTTTGTAATTGGAAAAGTTTTATTTTAAAGGCTGTAGCCTAGGAGAAGGAAGCACGTCTGCCAGCTATGGTTTCCTGTGGTTTCTGGGGAACCCCCTCCCACAGCCCTACCCAGGGACCCCGTTAGGCTGTCACTAGATTCTGGTCTTTATAGTGACCCAGGTCGGGTATTTTTGTTATAGCTAGGTGGCAGGATGGTGGAGGGTCTCTTCTCCCTCCACTGGGGACAGTTCCAGGAGCAAGCCCTTCTTCACACTGGTTCAGAGTGACCACTGCCACCAGCGGGTTCATACGTAATTTTGAGGGAATGAACAGTTTCGTGGATCCCAGAATTTCTTTGGTTGATGTCCAGAGTGGCGTTAGGGCCAGCAGTAGCCAAACAGCCTGTAACAGTCCTGGTCATTAGCATATTGTTCTGATTCAGTCACTGGGGACGCAGAGGTGAAACCAGGCCTTGCCTTTGAGCAGTGCATAGTCCAGGAGGAGCACAGAAACCAATGAGGTAAAACGGGCCCTGCTGCAGAGGAGGCGTGGAGTGGGTGTGCTCCACGGTGCCGGGTGGGAAGCTGTGGCCGTAGCCACTCTGGAAGCGTGTGACCGAGTGCTTCCTACCAGAGATTATGCCAAATAGCGGGAACAGGGACAGTGACACCATCGCATCACCTGGTTGTAAGAAAATACCCAACATAGGTATTTTATAGAGAACAGAGTTCTAAAGGCTGGAAACTTCAAAACCAAAGCGCTGGTAGGTTTGGTCCCCAGTGTCTGGCGAGGGTTGGGACTCTGCTTCCAGGGTGGTGCCATGAACTCTGTCCTTATGTGACCGAAATGCTGGAAGAGCAGAAGGGGATGCACATCACGTCCTCACATAGCAGGTGGTGAAAGCTAAAAAGGGCCTGATCTGCTTCCCTCCAGCCTTTCATAATAGTGCATTTATGAGGGACTTTCCAACAAGCCTCACTTTTTCTTTTGCTGTGCTGAGGCTTGAACCCAGTGCTTCATGCATGGTAAGCAAGTGTTCTACCACTGAGCTGAGTCCTCCGCCCAAGGCCCCGCTCTTCATACCACCACAGTAGGGATTAAGTTTCAACCCATGAGTTTGGAGGACATTCGGACTAGTTTTGTGCACTTTTCTTTCCCAGGCATTGGATCATGTGCTCAGTGCCCAGCCCTGGTTGTCTTGTACACTGATTTATTAATGCCTTCTCAGGTGTCAGTGATTTATCCCAGTTGCATTCAGGATGAGAGGGTCCCCAATGAGATCAGTGAATCAGCAAGGGCCTGGGGTCTGGTTGGGTCACTAGTACTAGTTTCTTTCTGTATAAGATCAGAGTCAGCTCAAGTCTTCACAGAAGCATGTATACAAGTAAATACATCTTGATAAGAGCCCATAATTACCCAGTACCTCATGTGTACAGGTAAAAATTAATTCTTTCATTTCTTCTCTATTCCCACTGCTGCTGTCACCAGTTTCTCTTTCTATGGTGGGGCCTCATGGATATATCTCTGCATCAGATTGGCCTCTAATGATTGTAAGTATTCTTATCTTTTTTTGTTTATTTCTTTGGTGATGCTAGGGATGGAATGCTGAAACGCAGATCTGCACTCATGCTAGGCAAGCACTCTGAGCTATGGGCACTGAGCTATGCCCCCAGCACATTTTTTTTTTTAAGTGAGTTTTCTAATTGGTAAACTTTAAATTTTAATAACTTGGTGGTAATAATCTCTTGATAACTAATAGTATATCTGGCTCCAGAGTGACCAGAAAATGGAGGACTGATCCTTAAATGCAGAAATGCCAACTTTGATATGATCAAAAGGTTTGACTGACTAATGTTGCTTCTCTTCCTACAGTTCTACATGGTGATGTGTATTGTTTATATATTGTATGGTGTGCTTTGGCTGATGTGGTCTGCCTGTTACTGGAAAGATATATTAAGAATACAGTTCTGGATTGCAGCTGTTATTTTCCTAGGAATGCTTGAAAAAGCAGTGTTTTATTCTGAATACCAAAACATCAACAACACTGGACTGTCAAGTAAGTTTTGACTGTCTCTGACTAGAGTGTGATGTGGGAGTTTCTTAGCATCAGTGAGCAGAGCTGTGGGAGGTCCCATTTGTACAGTGGTTTGGAAGTAACTATGTTATACACATAGATGAAGAGGAATGAAACCAAGAAGAGAGTATCAGAGTGCAATCCTGCTCTGGGCAAGCACATGTATTCTCTTTGTTTTCTGTTTTCCTTCTTGCCAACTGCCCACTTCCCCCTTGTTTTTCCTCCTGAAAAGGCAAATTCTTATTCCCTAGAGCTTAGCTGTGATTAAAACAACACAAGGTTCTAGACAGAGGCACTTAAGGTATGGCCAGTTCTTTTAACATTTCTCCTTTTATGCCTCCAATCTTCTTTTCTCTTCTGTAAAAGAGAAAAGGAAACTTTGGGCACAGACCTAAAATCAGTGGCACCATGTGGACATTTCCTTGTACTTGTGTCCTGTCCCTTCACTCTTACAAGAGTTCCATGTGACCAGGAGTGGCGCCCTCACAGTTCACGCAGTGGAATGTGTGATGGGCAGGCAAGTAGCCAGGCATCCATAAATGTGTGCCCCACAATTTTCTAAGCTAGGTCTCAAAAAGACCAAAGAAGTAGCAGTTCATTTCCACTGCGAAAACTTTGGAAAGGGAGACAGCTCAGAAGGCCTCATAGTGCCCTAACGACCAGTTACAAATAATCTTGGTACAGATTTTCAATAGATTTTATTTTTTTAAAACCCCGTAGGAAAAGCGAGTTGAAATATAGACAAAAATGAATTTGTGAGAATTTTGATAATCATTGAAGCTGAGTGATGGGTTCATGGGAATTCATTACACTGATTTCTTCGTCTTGGGGAATATTTGAAATTTCCCAAATAAACAGGTTAAAAAGGCATGTACAGAAGAATAAAGAAAGGGCAAACATCCTGGGATGCAAAGTGGGGGTATTACTATTCTGTAAGTTTTATGGGTTTGTGCACATGTATTCTAAATCAGGAAATGAAAGCAAACTGGGTCTGTTGCTTGGGGTTGAACCATCCTTGGGTGTCAGAGAAGATGTTCAGCTCCTTTACTGTTAGTGGTGATCTGTTTTGCCTTTTGTTTCAATATTGAGAATTAAACCTAAGGGCACTCTACTCCTGAGCTTCATTCAACTTAAGCTCTTTTTATTTTTTTGAGACAGAGTCTCATTAAGTTGCCCAGGCTGTCCTTGAACTTGTAATCCTTATGCCTGAGCCTTCCAAATAGTGGGACTTCTGGCATACATCATCATGCCTGGCTCTGAAGTCTGGATTTTCATGACACTTTTTGTTAGCTTTTTTTCGACCTGCTTGCACCTTCCTCAAAAGTAGATCAGGCTGCCTTTCCTCCTACTATGGGTTACTGTGTTAAATCCAGTGCTTAGCACATTAGTTCTATTTGCATGACCTCACCAGAGTCCAGTCTTAAGTAAACAGAGATCAAGGGGTGACTTAACTATTATAGCCACACAGTAGGAGCATAATGATTACTTTTGTTTGCTTGGTTTTTTTTGTGGTGTGGGGATCAAATCTAGGGCTTTACACGTGCCAGGCAAATAATATACTTTACATGGGCTAACGATGATGGCATCCTGGAGAAGAGAGAGTTCAGTGGATATTATGGCTTTCAGACATCTACAGGACAAGAAGAAGGGTACAGTTCTGTGTAGCCTCAAGGGGATGATGAAAGCAAAGGGGAGCTCAGGGAGACAGGTTTCAGGTTGATGTAGGAAAGCCGTGTCCAGTGGAACTGGTTGGATTTGGAGTGAAGTCTGCAGCAGGTAGTGAATTGCCCTTCCTTGAAGTTTCCAAATGTCAGTTGGATTAGGTGACTTGGCCTGAGGTCAGACTGTAGTGGTGCAGAGTGCCTGTGTATAGTTTTGGTTGGGAGTCCTTCTGATGTGCATATAGTAAATGCTTTTTTCATACACTCAGCCCAAGGTCTCTTGATATTTGCGGAGTTGATATCTGCGATAAAGAGGACATTGGCCCGCCTGCTTGTGATCATTGTGAGCCTGGGCTACGGCATTGTGAAGTAAGTATTGGTATATGAGATACCAGCTCTCCAGTCTAGTAGTTCAGGCCATCTGCATTATGATCTTGGCAGAACTCACATTCATAAGACCAATAAATCCTGAGGGGAAAATCTTCAGGAACTTACTTTTTGAAACATATCCATGTACTAGCTATTTTCTGTTAACTCCAAATAAAGAACCCAGATTTGAATTTCAGTAACTTTTATAGTTAGGTTTAGGGTAATAGAAAATCTGAAATGATTCTTTATGTTCAAATGAGTTTATTTTCAGTTTTCGAGGCAGTGCAGCAAGCTTTCATAGTTGCACTTGAGTGTTGCAGGGAGAATGGGTTAAACACCAAGTCCGCAGGGTTTCTGACTAGAACCTGGCTGTCTCTGGATGCCCCTCTTGCTGGACCTTCCTGGGCAGGTCTTCTCGCAGACCCCTGTGACTCGCTGGACATGAATATGGGGGATCTTGTCCACTGTGTCCTTGTTGGTCTTTTTACACTGTTCTTCCTCTTATTCTTTCACAGTAAAATCTGCTGATTCCACATGCCTCAGCCTGCAGACAGATTACTGTCATCCATGGGCTTTCTGGCGCACTTTCTGCCCTGTGTTTTGCCTCCACACTTCCTGTGATGTCAGTGTCCCTGCGGTGGTCCTGACCTCGTCTGCGTGCGTCTCCTGCCCTCAGTGCTCTCCCTTTACCTCATCTCAGCTTCTGACTGCCATGATCTTTTTCTAGACTGCATTCCTTTCATCATGTCAGTCTCGAGCAGTACCTTTTTCAAGTGTCTCCTCCTCTGTTTCCTGTTTACCTTTTCTGAGATCAGCTTTGGTCATTTCTGGCCTCTGGCCTTCTGGCCTAGCACCTTCTGCTGTCTTTTCCATCTCTAACCCTTTTTCCTTTAACTTCATTTCTTTGGTCCAGCAAGATACTGATACCCAATTCCCTGCCTTTCCTTTGGTCACCTGGACGTGGTCCCAGCCCTGATAAATCCTCTTTCCATCTGCCTCCACGTCATACGCCAGCAGAGGCATTTGCCTGAGAAGAGCTCTGCACCACACTGCCCAGGGCCATGTTCAGTCCATGACCCTGAGCTTCACGTGCACCCATGGTACTGCTGGAAGTTCTATTAGATTTTCTCAGCAGTCTTTTTTCCCCTCTTCTTCTCTGCAGGGTATGGTTTTACCCTTTCTCCTCAAACCTCCCAGCCCCTACCCCCACCCCTCTGCACTGACCTGGGATCCTTTTTCTCTGAGGAAGAAGCCATCAGCAGGGAGTTCCTCAGTGCTGTCCTCAGATCCTGCCACTTGCTTGTGTCTGGGCCACACACAGTGCTTTCCTCCTCTCGCTAGGCATATGCCGCGCCTGCCCTTGTGCCCTGTCATGTCCGTGGAGCTGCCCCAGTGGTCAGTTCAGTTCTCTCTTGCTTCATAAATTTGCCTCGCCAGTGTGTTGCTCTCAGCTTGCTGTTATTCCTACCATCTTTAAAAACAAAGGCCTCCCTGAGCCCCACGTGCCCTTTCCTGTGCTTGTATTTCATTTCCTTCGCCGTGTGTAGCATACCTTTCCAAATGAGTCGCCTGCGCTTGCCACCTCACCTCCCTCGTTCTTTTGCACATACCCTGGAGAGGTTTCGCTCCGCTGAGGCTGCCCTGGTTGTGTTCGCTGTAACCTCCCTTGACCCTGCCCAGCCTCAGCCCAGGTGCCTTCCCACAAGCTTTGGTCATGGAGCCTGGCTGTGCTTGGTTCTAGGAGTTCATGGCCCATTTCTCTCTTGTTTCTGGGTGCTCCTTCCGGATCTCCTTTGCTGGACCTCCTTCATCTTCTGAGGCCCAGCCTTGGAGTGCCCCATGCTCAGGCCTCAGACCCTGTCCTTTGAATAATACCTGTGGGGCCCTCTCAGCCAGTTCCATGGCCCTAACTTCAGAACACACCCAGAAGGAGCCCTCCCATCCCATCCGCAGGTGCCAGCCTGGCTGAACCACCATCTTCTCCCTCCAGGACCACCTGAGTTGGCTCCTACCTAGTTTCCAGTTTCCCTGCTTCCGCCCTTCCTAGTCTTGCAGTACAGCAGTGGCAAGATGGTCCTTTTCAAGTGGGACTCTGCTCTTGGTACTTGGCTACTCCTGTTGCTTAATAAAACTCCCTTCCCCCTGCACTTATGAGGCTGTCCTGAGGGGACCTCGTCTCCTGCTGCTCTTCCTGTGGACATGGCGATGCATCCTGCTGGCTCTGTCGTTCGCATGAGCTCCTTCTGATCCCAGACAGTTTTTTTCTCACTTCCTTTGGATTTCTGCTTCGCTGTCACCTCCGAGAGGCCAGTCCTTCAGGATTCCCAACAGTGCACACCGTGTGACAGTCTGTCCCCTTAACCTTTTATTATGCCATTTGATGAGGGTTAGTATCTATTGTCTGTCCAACCCCCAGCCCACTCAGGCGAAGTTAGAGCTTTGCTTATTTTGTGTCCTTGACCCTGAGGCTCCTGAGGACTCAGAATTTTCAGTTTGAAGTACCAAAACTAACTTCAGTTAGCTCTCTTGTGGGAGGCAGAGGCCGTGGTCAGAGGGGAGGTATTGAAGTTCCATCTCCTCACATGCTGCTGTTACCCTGCCCGAGTCATCAGATCAGTGGACCACCTAAGACAAGACCTAACTTACAGCAGTTTGTGGGAGAATAAAGTTGTAATCTCTGCCAGTGACGCTTGCCTTCTTGGGTTTCACCATCCTATCTGTCCCCTCTATGGAAGTAGTGCCTGTTCGTTTGTCATAGAGCTTCAGCGTCAGCAGCTAAATCCTTTGCCGTCTTTATCACCTCCATAGGCACCCACACAGCTTCAGGTGCTAGAGGAAGAGATGGGTGGCTCCCCAGCCTGTTCCTGCTGTGCTTTCTGGAAATCCACTCTCTCCTATGGCAAAGCGCTGCCGAGACAAGAACAGACTGTTTGGGTTAGGTAGTGACTTCCCTGGGACTGGAAAGGGTGCGGTGCATTTTACTTACCTGCGTTTTTCTTTTCTCCACCCCAGGCCTCGTCTGGGGACGGTCATGCACCGGGTGATTGGACTGGGGCTGCTTTACTTCATCTTTGCGGCCATTGAAGGCGTGATGAGAGTCATTGGGGTAAAAACCACAGTAATTTCACTACCACCCCTTTTTTTTTGTACCTATGAAATGTGATCTTGCTTTGTGTCTCCTGAGAGGACATTCTTAAACATAGAAATTTCAGAAAAAGGACCAAGTTGAGTTTTCGAGGCAGAGTACTGCTCCAAACAGTATGATTGCTTGAGAAGGCCTCACTTCGTATCTTCCCAGGAATTAGCTCTGTCCCAGAAAGGCTCAGTTACCGTTACAGAAACATAGGTTTTTGTGGGTATGTAGTCTGTACACATTTACACCATTCTTAATCCTGGTGTCAGGTGAGCAAGGTTAACCGCACTAGACAGTTACATGCCTTCAGGCATGGAGGCATTACTCTGCCTCAGCTTCTAGTGCTCGTTTTGCTGTGACTCTGGGGACCTGTACTGTGAGGACTCAGCAGCCCCTGCTGAGAGAGAGAGAGACGCAGGCGAAGGTTGTGTTCAGGAGAGAAGCCTGTGGGCCTATGGGCAGCAGCACTTCGCTCTCTAGGGGAGGATTCCTATTTATATCGGTAAGGACCCCTAGATTTCTAGCTTTGAGTTTTTCTTAGTTATTGGTTGAGGGCTACACCTGATTCAAAGAACTGTACCTGTTTCGCAGTGTCGTTTGGATTCAGTGTGTAAATCAAGTCATTGCGCACAGAGTGATTAGTCTGTGTTTTGCCACATAGGTTTACTTCACATATTTGACCTGGCTTAAAACAAGATATTTCTTCGTTAACGTTGAAACTTTGTCCCTCTTTCTGTGGTCTTTGATGTGTCTGCATTCTCTGTCACACACCTTTTCTTTCAGTCTGCTTGTACTTATTTTTACATAGTCATGGAGAGCTTTGCATATATATATTTTGTAGAAAATGAACCTTTGTTAGAAAAGATAAATACCTCACATACAAATAAAATATATGCATTATATTTGCTAGAAAATTTTACTTCGGCAGCATCTTAGTGACGTTAATATTACTGGTCAGCGTAAATGTCTAATCTACAGTTTATGCCCTTCCACACCTTCCCCTCCACTACTGTACTTTTTTCCTCTGTCCCTCCACAGCAAGGATGGGGAGGTCGGGAGTCCACCTCAGTAGTCCTGGCTGTAGGTCTGGTGTGGAGAGGGGAGAGGTTTAAACAGTTAGCCTAAGTGAGACTGGGAACATGAGGCTCTTTATTTGGCGCCCATAGTACTTTTGTATCACTATCATCTGATAAGTCAGTGACAAGTTAACATTTCTTTTACCAAAACAGGTAATTTTGATGTGCTAGGCACAATTCTCTTAAGGAATACAATCTTTTATGTGGCATTGTAGAGTGATAAAATGAGCTAAGTTGTTTTTCTTCATCAAGTGATAATTGCCGTACTGTAATGAAACTTTTACAACCAGATTTCCCCCCTATTTTTGTCTTTCAGGGTTCTAAACATTTAAGTGTTGTTTTGGGTGACATTATTTTAGCAGTTATTGACTCCATTTTTGTATGGTTCATATCCTTTAATATTGTCTTTCCAAAAAAGTTTGTTGCATCATTAAAATCATATTATTTTTAACTTGTAATAATGATAGGGTGAAATACAGTTATGCATTATTGCTTCCTCAGTGTAGGAGTTTATTTGAAGATGAAAAAAGAGTAACTCCCCAAATAAGGAATATCTATCTATCTATCTTTATTTAAGTTCAGCAAATACTTACGTACTCAGTACCTGCTGCTGTTAAGGCATGGATGAAAAAGATTGTCTCTGCATTTAAAGAATTCACAGCCTGATAGAAGAGACACATATGTCACTCAACTAACAATAGTACAGCAATATTTGCCTTTCTAGAGGGGTGTCATGTGAATAGAGGTAGCTAAGAGAGAAATTAATTCTGGCGTAAAAGTCAGGAAAGACTTAAGAGGTGGAGCCAAGAGAACAAATGGTTCACTAGGAAGAGAATGGGGGAGAAGGTGGGTGGGAGGAACTGAGGGAAGCAGAGTTAGAAGCATGGAAATGCAGGCGGCAGTGGTCAAGTATCTTGGGTCTGCATTCCTGCAGGATTCAGCCTATAGGGCCGGAAGGGGAAGGCAGGATGGCGTGTTTGTGGGGTTTGAGTTCCTCCTGAGGTGGAATGTAGACAGGAAAGGAAGCCGTGCGTGTGTGCCATGATGGAGCCAGTGGCAGAAAGAACTCAAGCATGGCATAGAAGATGTCAAGGAGAGACTAAAGGCAGGACGTTGGGTAAGGAGTCACTTGCCGAAGTATAAAGAAGAGTTGAGAAGGGTCAGAAATACAGTGGGGAAAAATCCAGATGACAGACTTGCCAGAAACAGGTGTTCCAGAGAGGTCTGGCGTGGCTTATTGGAATAGCTGGGGCGCAGTTCTGCCGTTCTCTGGCTGGGGAGCTTGGAGGAGGGGCTGTAATGGACCAGGTTTGGGCTCCCCAGGGCATTAGTGTGAAAAAAGATTTAGAAATCACAGCCTGGGCTTGTGAGAGGGTCAGAGCTGGAGATGCAGGTCAGAGGTCATGTGCAGATGGGAGAGGCTGCAGCTGTGGAGGACCCAACCAGAACATGCAGATCAGTGGAGAGGAGCTAGGGTGGTGCCTCGTGGGGAGGAAGAAGTGCCTGGGAGGAACACCAGGGCGAAGGGTGGTGGAAGAGCCAGCAAACTGCCATGGAGCACACAGGAAGACAGAGACGATGTGGTCCAGAGTGGCCGGTGCTGCAGACCCGGCCTCGCGCACACCAGCTCCCACCCTTCCGAAGATCGGAGCAGGCAGCGCAGGGTGGGCTCAGTGAAGGCAGTGGCTGGAGATACTGCAGCAGGAGCACCTTTGGAGGCAGTGGTAACTGGGTCCTCCTGTCCGGCTCAGTGACTCAAGCCAAGTGTGGGGAATTCTTGTGTTTTTCCTCCATGGTGGCACTGATAGAAGTGGGAAGAATTCTGGAGAAAACACGCGTTGGTTAGAGCAAAACACAGGTTGTGCATGACCCATAACAGTATTTTCTGTGTTGTCACTGGAACTCTTTCTTGTCAGAGAGATTTCTAATTTTACCGTGTTCTTTTTGTTTCCGCTGTCTTTGGTACTTGCCTCTCTTAACATGAAATTTTCTTTTATTGTCTTTCTTGTCTTTCTCTGCATGTTCTCATGTGTGTGTCTGCCTGGAAGGCCAGCAGGCTTGAACTTGCCTGTTTCCTTTCTCCGCAGGGAAGTCTGCCCTCTGCAGGTGCGCAGTGTGCAAACACAGCACTGCTCAGGGCTGCCGGGACCCTGCAGGTTGTTTCCTAAGCCCGGTGTACCTATGCTGTCCTTCCCCATTGGTGAATTCTCAGTATGCTTCCACATTAAAGGGACAGTGAACTTTTGATGACTGCTCCTGGCTAACATTGTTTGAGCACTGGGATTAGAAATACGCCTTAAATCTAATGACTGCTATCAAGCCTCCCTCCACACAGTACACCCCACACAAGGAGTTTTGTCCACAAGGGGCTGCTAAAGACCTCCTGATTTATATCCGTGCCCCCTCGAAGTATGAGGAGCATCACTAAGAAATAACACCTGATTTTAAAAGTTATTTTTGACTGAACTTCTTTAAAACTCCTCTCTGTTTCTGTGCACAGCTGTAAATTTAGGGTCCAGATTTACTAACCAAACTGTAGTCAAATAAATCTGCTCTTCTCAGAGAGCGGCATCTTCATGTTTCTCATGTTCCTCATATTAGAAGACACTTAAAGAAATGCAGTTGCTAAGTGTATTCCTCAACCCTGGATGTAAGCAGTGATCAGCCTGCAAGGTGGTGGCTCCCCAGCATCTCCGTAGGGGATACTCACCTGTCATGAGAGGAATGGACAGAAAGGATCAGCGCATTGGGAACCGGGGTGGCAGGTTGCAGTGGAGATGAACATAGCTGTTGGCCATCACCATTAGTATCTCTAGGTCTTAAAGCTTTGCCATGTGCTTGGAAAATGAGCCTAAGATAACTGTTCCATTTGGATTTTCCCCTTTCTAAAATTGTGTGTGCTTGGAGCTTTTAACAAAGCAAGGAGTCAGTTAATTGAGCTGTAGGCTTTGCATTAAAAAAAAATTGTACAGTCTTTTCTCCTAGTGATTTATAGATAAGTGTTTCAGAGATTTCTTGTTCTTAACCATCCATAACGCAGTTTATTGGAAAAACACTCACCTGAAACGTGGGAGAAAATTCCAAAGGAAGACAGTTCCGTAGTTTCCAATTCCCTCTGCATCTGGATGAGGGCAATTTATCATTCTTACCGACAGCACTGACTTTGGTACATTCCAGTACATACTGAGTCAGACCTCAGTGGAGAGAGACAGGAAAATGAGATGATTTTTTTTTTTTTTGGTACCGGGAATTGAACTCATGACCTCACACTTGCCAGGCAGTTGCTATGCTGCTGAGCTATATCCCCAGCCAAGATGAAGGATTTAATTTGCTTAATAATCATTATGAAATCCAGACATTAAAATTATCGTGGTTTGTGTTTCATGGTGAGAAAAACAAAATGTATTATCCATTTCTGATGGTCTCTTAATTTGTGGAATTTGCCTTCAGATTGTTTTCTGTAATTTTTGTTACTAGGGTGAAAAGTCTGTTTTCTCTATACAAAGGAAAAAAACCAGTGGGTTTCCTAAATGATTACAAATGACAAGCAAAAGAAGCAGAGCTAGATACATACAGAATTGACTGCTTTGATAACTACCCTGCTTTGCTTTTGATGAATTCAGTTTAGTTAATTCTGTAACGCTAAAGTAGCAGGAAAAAAATAGCCTGGAAAATGCAAAAGCCATAGCTTTTCTCAATGTGCCACCTCCTTTTCTTCCTGCTTGTTATTTTTTTGCGTTTTGCTGCAGGCGAATGACTCTGATCTTGTTCTTCTGGCCAGCCTCCCTCTCTCTCTCCTTGACTCTGGCTTGTGCTGGTGGATATCCTTTTCCTACCGCAGCAGCATGTGCACTGGCTGCCCCTCGGGACGAGGAGTCTGTTTGTTCTCGTCACTGCTTTCCCTGATGGGAGGAATGATTAACTTTATCTAACTGTGACAGTGTCTTGGTAAGTGAAGGCTTAGGGAGCTTCTAATTTGTTTTTGATATTCCTTGACTTAAAAAAAAAATATTTTTGAATAATAAAAAAAGACGAGTTTTTGAAAATCTTGATATGTTTAAAGAATAAGGCATATTTGCAGTTTTGTAAGTTCTAATAGTAGCCCAGTTTGGCTTATGTTACCTTACAAATTGATCTCCTTTACGACTTGGTCATTTACAAAGATTAAAAAATAGTCTTGTAAAGTAGATTTTGGGTGAAAATGAAGTTTTTGATTAATGAAGGATTTAGAACTTAAAATAGGCACCAACATAATACTTGCCACTTCTGTTCTTTGACCCAGCTCTGTTATTGCCAATGTTTGGTTCACAAATGCCTAAAGCCTGTTGGTCTGCTCCAGAGAAGGTAACTTGGCATTTAAGAACAGAGATCTGGGCTGGGCGTAGTGATGCACACATATAATCCCAGCACTCTGGGAGGCTGAGGCAGGAGAACTGCAGGTTTAACCCCAGCCTCACCGTCTTAGCTCAGTGTAAGGGCCATGGGTTCAGTCCCTGATACCTAGAACAAAAAACAAACAGGAAAACTATAGGTGATCTTACTTGACTCCCTTCACTACTGAGGAATCAGTGGAAAGGTCTCTCTGCTTATTCACACTTGGCAGTATTCACCATGACCTGAGCCCTGCGCTCCTGGAGAGCAGCCAAGGTTAAGAAGGCCCTCCCCGTTTCTGTTGTGGGAAAGGCAAGTCCGAAAAAGCACTGTCCTACAGGACTTAGATCAGGCTCTGAGATGGCCCAGGACCTGTGACAGCCAGACACAGCCCTTCCAGATGCCCGTTCTCTGCCTCCTGCACGAGTGGCTGAACCTTACATATCCACTGGCCAATCTAGACAAAATACTGATGAGCAAATGTCAAGCCTTCTCCTTCCCTGAGCCCTGAACTTTGACCTCAATCAGCCCGACCCAGAACCGAGCCCTTCTTATGGGCCCCTGCTAGGAACCCGCAGACCTCCAGGAGAGACCTGACTGGGGAGTCACACCACCACTGCCTTCTCCCATGCCTGCTCCTTTCTAGCCATTGCGACTCTTGGAGGTTATAGAGTCCTAGTATTCCCCCATTGCAGTAATCACTAGTACAGTCTGTTCCTACCTAAGCTCAGGCTTGTTTGGCATATTCCAGCTTGCTTGCTTTTTTATTTATTTATTTATTTATTTATTTATTCATTTATTTAGTCTTTTTGAGATAGGGTCTTGCTATGCAGTTCAGGCTGACCTTTAGCTCACTTTGTAGCCCAGGCTGGTCTCGAACTCACAAGGATCCTCCTGCCTCAGCCTCCAGAGGGCCAGGATTGCAGGCGTGTGCCACCATGCCCAGTGTCCAGCTTTTTAATTTATAAAATGGAAATAATAGATGACCTGACTTCTCTGCTATGGTCATTCAGAGAATAGACTAGACAGAAAAGTAGGAAAGAAAGAAACTGAAAGGCATAGGTCAAAAAGGCATAGGTCAAAGGCATAGGTCAAGGACACATCCTAACATGGTCTACAAAGTGCATCTGACCCTGCAGGGAATTTGCTCTGAGTGTGTGCCCTGCTCTAGCCTGTGTCCTGGAGCTTGGCCTTGAAGGATACATCACAGGTCTTGTCCTTGAAGATTGCTCATATATTTCAGACAATGGCAAATCATAAAGCAAAATCTGTGTAATGGATCATGATTATACATTATTGACTAACATTTTCTGTTGTATTAGCTTCACAGTTGAGCTATATTTAGCAGTACTAACCTTGAAAATGTTGTAGAGATTCTTAAATAGTTTTAAAAAATTATTCATTACTATTTAAAATGTTTTTCCTTAACTCTTTTTACATTTTTATAAGTTTGGCACAAACTATGAAGACTCTAAGACTAAGAAAAAACACAGTGAAATTTTCCTTGTATAGGCACTTTACAAATACTCTCATCTTTGCTGTACTGGGTAAGCTGTTTACTTTTTCTTATTATGAAACATTTTTTCAGTATTGCATATTCCTTCAAAGGTGACATTTTTGTCTTTCAGCTTCTGTAGTGTTTATGATATGGACAACGAAGACATTTAGAATGGCAAAATGCCAATCAGTAAGTAAATCTTCATTTTTAATTATACTGTTTTATTTTTTATTTTATTTTAAAGAGAAAAAAACAAAATTTCAGATAATAGGAGAGTAACCATAGTTAATACATTGCATATTGTTATCTTCAAAGTATACTGTTTTATTTTGCGAAATTTTGAAGAATTTTTACTTGTGAACATACATAATTTTAATGATTTTCCCTTTACTTTGAACTGTTCTATCTAGTATTGCCAAAATTTTTCCCTTTTTTTCTTTTTTTTTTTTTTTGGTCTTTTTGAGGCAGGGTCTCGCTGTGCAGTTCAGGCTGGCCTTGAGCTCATTGTGTAGCCCAGGCTGGCCTTGAACTCGTGATTCTGCCTCAGCCTCCCGAGTGCTGGGATTACAGGCGTGTGCCACCACACCTGGCTTCCTTTTTTAAATGAATCTTAAAATTTCCTCTTAAGTCTCCTTTTGCTCTCATGCCTTTTTCTCAATTTTCTGTCTACTTCGAAAAAGAATTCTCTTCCTGTATAGTTTAAAATAACAGGAAGGGACTAGGGAGGCAGCTCAGTGGCAGAGCGCCTGCCTCATGTATATGAGGCCATGGGTTGAATCCTTAGTACCACAAAAAAGAAGTAGGTAAATGAAGTAAGAGAAAAGGTTTTTGTTCCTGTGTACTATAAAATTGAGTGGTTTTGTGTCTTTTTTGTGTTTTTTTCTCCCCTTGGGGTGCTGGATATTGAAGGCGTGCCTAGTATGTGCTAAGCACACACTGTACAACTTAGGTGTACCCTGAGCCTGGTTGTTTTGTTTTGAATCTAAATGGGACTAAAACTCTTAAATCAGGCATTTTCTATGCTGGCATGCTCAGTGTGGACTTTGGGAGGTGTTCACTTTGGGTTCCCAGTTGGAAGAAAATATACTTCTCAGACTTCCACTATGAAGGGCCCCTTTTAGAACATTCCTGAGATTTGGAGCTAGTCTCTCATGCTGCCTTGGGGATGACCGAGTAAGAGAAGAGGTTGAACCTTCTGGAATTTCTTTTTCTCCTCACCTTAGTTATTTTCTACTTGAAGTTCAAAGTATATGTTTTAGAATTTTGTTTACTAAATCTTTTTGTTAACTCTGAACTTTTACGGAAGGGGATGTTTATAATATTAGAGAACCATTTAGAAACATTATAAACAATACAGATTTCTTTTAGAAAAAAGAAGTTGTCTACTTGGGAGACTTTTTGATGGGAGAGATGTCATTCGCACTTGTCATGTTTAAATGGGCAAGCTGTATGTTTATCAGAATAATTTCTTATTTTTCATGTTTCATTTGTCCTTATTTTAGGATTGGATGGAACTCTGGGTTGATGATGCATTTTGGAGCTTCCTTTTCTCACTTATCCTTATTGTAATAATGTTTTTGTGGAGACCATCTGCAAATAATCAGAGGTACCTAACAAAGGAAAACTTTAAGTTAGCAGGTGTTTGTGGACAGCTATCTACAGTGTCAAAAACACAATTTTTTAAAAAATTTAAGTTTATTGGTACATTTTAGGTATACATAATGATCACATTCATCATAGGAAATTTGTACCTGTACATGACATATCTTGATTTTTTTTCTCCCATTCCTCTGCCATCCCTTCAACTCCTCTTCTCCCTATTTACAAAAGCTTTGTTTTCGTTTTTTTCTTTCTTTTGTCATCCGCCCCCGCCCCCGCTGCCTCAGTTCCTCTTCCCATCTGAATATTTTCTTGCTATGTCCCAATATCTATTACATATCTTGGTCGTTATTTACACTTTTAGTTCCTCCCACCAGAGAAACTATGCAGTATGTACACGTGAGTGTCTGAATTATTTCACGGAAGAGTATGTTCTCAGGGTGCATCTATCCACCTACAGATGTTTCAAGATTTTCATTTTTATGGCTGAGTAGTACTTCATTGTATAAAAGAACCATATCTTCTTTATCCACTCATCAATTGATAGACATTTGGGTTGTTTCCAAGATTTAGCTATTATAAACTGCCACTATAAACATAGGCGTGCATATATTGCTGTGGTATGATGCTTTAAATTTTTTCAGGAAGATACCAAGAAGGGGACTACATGGGTCAAATGGGACCTCTAGTCCTACTTTTTTGAGGAATCTCCACACTGATTTCCACAGTGGTTGCACCAGTCTACACTTCCACCAACAGTGGAGAAGGGTTCCTTTTTCTTTACAGTCTCACCAGCGTTTGTTGTTGGTTGATTTGTTGATAATAGCCATTCTTTCTGGAATGAGACGAAATCTCAGCATTGTTTTGATTTGTATCTCTTAAATGACCAGTGATATTCAACATCTTTTCATATATTTATTTGCCATTTCTACTTCTTTATCTAAGAAGTGCATTCATTTCAGATGCCCATTTTTGGATTGGGTCTTTGAATTTGAGGGATCTGATTTTTTTTGAGTTCTTCTATACCTTGGTATAGATTTGTTTGTTTATCATGGCTAATTGGAGTTCTATATGCCTCACTTTACTGTATGTCAAATTCTTTTTCCCTGCTTGGGTAGTTTTCTGCCATGATGTCTGTGAATAGGTTTTTTATATCATTTGTGCTATCTCCTGCTTTTTCATTGACTCCAATCAATGTTATATTGTTCTTCTTTGCATTGTCTAGCAGCTGCTGGATTGTTTTCTCTTGATCCCTTGCTATTTTTAAGACTTCTTTCTTTTCATGATTGCTAACTGCAATCCTGTTTTCTGTATCTGAGATTCTATCCTCACATTGGCTCATTCTGCACTTTCAATTTAATTTTTAATCTTCTGGATATGTTTGAATCTGTTTCATGGATTCCATTTCTTTCCCATGTTGGGTGTTCATGATTTCCATCACTTTCCTAATATCTGTTTTTTAATCTATATCTACTGTAGAGTCACTAAGCATGTCTTTCATTATGGTCACCATCTCTGTAGCTGTTTGAGAAATTACTTCTGATTTGATGTTTTTTAGAATCTCATTCATTTGCTTTGTTACTTCTTCTGTTACCATGTCAGAGAGTCCAGGTATCTGGCTTTCAGATTGTTCCACCTCATGGCCCCCTGGGCTTGACTTTGGTGAGCTGGAAGTGTAAGGTTGCACCTTGTTTGTGTCTTATCATTTTCTGTTTTTTTGTTTTTAGTTTAATTCCTGGGTTGATGCTTATAAATTGCCTATGGCGGGTAGCTTTATTGCTAATATTTACAACCCTTAGGGAATTACTACTCCTGGAGGTGTCTTCCAGGGGTAGCTGGCCTTTGGGTGTAGAGCCCACTTCAAAGTGTGTCTCTTCTGTCACTGATAGACAGGGTAGGCAGAGCCCAGTTCTGAGTTGATTCAACCGAGCAAGCCAGCTGTAGCTTTACAGTGGCTAGTGGATAATCCCAGTGAGCCCACACCTTTAGTTCCACTGAAGTTCAGGGTGGTGTCAGGCTGTGAGGCTGGAACCAGACCTATTCAACCTATAGCAGTCCTTGTGCCCCCTCTGGCTTGAACTTGGTTCCCTGTCAGCTGACTTCCTGCAGACTTGAACTCATCTCCCTTACCACGACACCAGGAGCTGCTAGATGAAGCCATCAGTTGTTCTGAGTTCTGGGCTCAGTTGGCCCCTCTCCTGCAGGGCTTCTGAATCCATACAACTCACCAGCCACTACAGTCTGCTATATCCACTGTTCTGTTCCTCTGGTGCGTTTCTCTGTGGAGGCCATTGGGGTTGCTAGTCACACTGTACCTGCAGGTTGGAGCCACCCCTCCCACAAAGTGAGTCCAGGCTCATGGACAAAGCGCTGCCAACCACCTCCTTCTTTTTCATTGAAATCTCTCTCTTCACTCTCCCCACGGGCTCCAATTCTCACTTCAGATCCTTCCTGGGTTCCAGGGATGCACTTCCCTCCTCTTCCTCGTGTTGCTCTATGTTCCAGTGTCTGGACACCAAATCTCAGAGAGGTTCTTTGCTGCTTACCACTCTGCCATCTTCCCAGAAGCTTGTTGTTCCGCCTTTTTTTCTTTTCTTTTCTTTTTTTTTTTTTTTGAGACAGTAGTGAAAGCTGGCCTTGAACTCATTGTGTAGGCCATACTGGCCTCAAACTCATGACGATCCTTCCTGCCTCAGCCTCCTAGGTGCTGGGATGACAGGTGTGCACCACCACGCCAGGCAAAAACACATTTATAGAAATGTGTTTTCTATAAATGCTTTAAGCTGTGTATAGTCAAGTAGGGAGACAACATAGCAAATGCAGGACAGTGAAATTGATGTAGAAATCAGTCTGGGGGTGAAAGAGGGACATGAAATACTCTACACAGAGGCAGCATTTGTGTTATAGGACACACATAAGTAAAAGATTGAGCTAGGAAAGCATGTGTGTTCTCTGAGTTAATGGTAGCCTATATTATAATATATTCTAGAAGCTGGTGAGGTACAAGGTTTGGCCACAACACATATTAAATATCCCTTATCCAAAATATGTGAGACAGCTGTGTGTGGTGAGACACACCTGTTATCCCAACACTTGGGAGGCTGAGGTAGGAGGATTGCTATGAGTTCAGTGTCACCCTGGGACACATAGAGAGTTTAAGGCCAGCCCAGCCTGGATTATATGGCAAGAACCTGTCTCAAAAAAACAGAAAGAAATGCTTGGAACAGAAGTCTTCAGATTTAGGGATACTTGCATAGACTTTACTGGTTGATTAGCCCTAGTCTGAAAATCTGAAATCCAAAGTACCCCAGAATTTGAGACTTTTTAGACACTGACATGATACTCAAAGAGCTTTAGATTTTTGGGTTAGAATGCTCAATCTGTAGTAATATTGGAGGGAGATAAAGCTAGAGGAAGGTGGGGCCAAATTGGTACAGTTTAAATGCCAAGTGCAGAAATTTGTATTTCATTCATTTATATAGTTAGTTTTTTTTGACACAGGGTCTTGCTGTGTAGCTCAGACTGGCCTTGAGCTCATGGTGATCCTCCTGCCTCTTGCTGGAATTACTGGCCTGAACCATCATGCCCAGTGGAGAAAGTTGCATTTCAGATTTGTGTTGTACTTGAGACTCTTAAAGGGAATCTCTACTTTCCCTTGCCTCACCCCCTTCCTCAAGGAAAAAAGTTAAGCTTCTTCTAGGAAAAAATGAAAAAATATGTATCAAATAATAATGTATACATACACACATACCTATAAATGTACATATACTTCTGCTTCCTGTCTAAAATGTATCTTTCCATATCATCATGTGTAGACCTACCATGTTATTTTATAAAGCTATATGACATGTTATGTGTGTAGTAATTTATATAAGCTGTCCCCAGTTGTTAAACATTTTATTTCTGAATTTTTGCTGCTATCAATAATGCTTTCTGAAGGTTATTGGACATCTGTCCTGGCAAACTTTTGTTAGTACAATGCAGCTTCACAAACTCCACACGTACAGTGTAATGTGAAGCAAATGCACTTTTACTTTGATAGATTTTTGAAAGGAGGATGCGATCACCCTGTAGATGTGGCTCTACCAGTGGGCTTTCTCTTTCACCAAGCAGATTAGCACCTTCTCTTTCATTAGAGAATAAGCTAAAAAGTGTTTGACAGGGAGGTAAACCTGACCTGGAGAAAGTGCAACCGAAATTTCCCTTCTCTAAAGGTTGTATGTTGGGAAATTGCTTTCCAGAAAGATTTTGAGAGCTCCAGTTTGATAGTTTCACAATATATTCTGGCTAATTTGAGAGCAAAATAATTAAATTTTTAATTTATTTTTATTTAATTTTTAAATTATTATTATTTTTAATCTTTTTGAGACAGGGTCTCGCTGTGCAGTTCAGGCTGACCCTGAGCTCACTTTGTAGCCCAGGCTGGTCTCGAACTCACAACAATCCTCCTGCCTCAGCCTCCCAAGTGCTGGGATTACAGGTGTGCGCCACCATGCCTAGCTTAAATTTTTAATTTATAAGAAACTTGAAATGTTTGTTTCAGAATATATACAGTGACTATTTTAGGTATAAAATGAAAATTGAATTGAGTTTAAATACACCAAAGTGCTCCTTATTTTCATATAGATACGCCTTCATGCCCTTAATAGATGATTCTGATGATGAAGTTGAAGAATTCATGGTCACATCTGAAAATTTAAGTGAGTGATACGTTTTCTTTCTAAATGATCATTGTACGTATTGTGACAGAGAAATATATATGCCTTTACCTGTGACCTAAGGACATACACATCATTTTAAGTGTTTTTTCTATGAAATATTCTCAAAATTTTACAAAGTCTACTTCTCTACTTTATGTATATTTACTTTATTACAGTAGATACTAACAAAAAGAAAAGTCATTGATTAAATTTGTGAGATTGTTCATACAATTTGTGATTTTGTTACTCATTTACTCTTCAGGGTTAGAGTACGTGCCTGAGAAGGGTTTGGGATATGTTGTACACAGTGCCTGAATTGTATCCATCTTAATGATAACTGCTGGATTTCTTTGAATTGTTCCCCTTGCTCTTTTAAAAGTACACATGGCTCCAATTTCCCGTTCATGCTTAAAGCATTTCTAATTACACTTGTAGTGCATTTTCATTTTTTCTGTTTCTACATCACATTTTAATCACTTGGATAATTTATCTTTTTTTTCTGTTTTTTTGAGACAGAGTCTCGCTATGTAGTTCAGGCTGGCTTTGAGCTCACTTTGTAGCCCAGGCTGGCCTTGAACTTGCAACAATCCTCCTGCCTCAGCCTCCCAAATGCTGGGATTACAGGCATGTGCCACCATGCCTGGCCTAATCACTTGGTTAATTTTACCCTGATATTCTAATTAAAAATGTGTGAAGGTTGGGGCCAGGCGTGGTGGTGCACGCCTGTAATCCCAGCACTCGGGAGGCTGAGGCAGGAGGATCGTTGTGAGTTCGAGACCAGCCTGGGCTACAAAGTGAGCTCAAGGCCAGCCTGAACTGCATAGTGAGACCCTGTCTCAAAAAGACAAAAAAAAAAAAAAAAATGTATGAAGGCAACATCAATGTATAACACAGACATGGGGGGTGATTCTGTCTGCCCATCTTACTTTCCTCTTACTTGGGTTTCTCTTACTACTGACATTAGTTTTCATAATCTGTTTTAGTTCTGTCATTGTTTAAAATACTGTGAAAAAGTTGTAGTCTACCCAGTCAGCAAAAACTGTGACAGAGCATAATCAACATGTCTTCAGTCTCCCCAGTTGCTTTACTTCTTGTCCTTTAACTGTCACCTACAACTATTTCTTTCATGTTTTTCTGACTCTTATTAAGAAAGAAAAGTAGAAAACTTACTTAGAGTTAGTAAGTTAAAATTCAGCACATTTAAGGTTCTGGCTTAAAGAAATGATCCAGAAAATTGTGTGGGATAGACCTGCTGGTTGGCAGCTAGTATACTCTCTAGACAAAATATTGAAAAAAGCATAACTGACAGTAGTGGAGGGCAACAGAAAGTAGGGGGAAACTGGAGGGCATTTGCTTGTTGACAGAAGCGAAGCGCACCCTTCGTTAAGTTCCACATGCGCAGGCTTTCATCCTGAGTACACTGGCATTGATGTCCTGGTGCAGAGCTCCAGGAAGAAGGTGCAGGCTTACAGGTGCAGATGTCAGTGGGGAAAAGGTAGAGATTGTGGCTGTAAGAACGCCTGGAAATGGAGGAGTAAAATCAAGAACAGAGAGAGCCATGGAGAGAGAAACCCCAAAGATTATACAGTTGTTCAAATCTTAGCTAATGCATGAGCTGGATAAATACAAAGTAAGAGTCCTAAGATGCCAGTGATAAAAGAATAGCCAATATTCTGAAGAGCATAACAGATTTGTTCCTAAATATTACTTTTGAAGACCTTATATTTTTGAAGACTTTTTATTTACTACTAAATATTATTATTATTTTGGGGGGGGGTTAATTTTTTTTTCCAGTACCAGGAATCGAACTCACGATGTCATGCTTGCCAGGCAGGTGCAGTGTCGCTTAGCTAAATCCCCAGCCCCTAAATACTGTTTTTGAAGACAAATTTTACATGAAATTGTATTCAGCTAGATATACTGTATAAGAAAAAGAACTAGTATCTGTGTGTTGGAGATATGTTCTGTAGTTTTGTTACAGCCACTTAGCAGTTCTATAGTTTTCGGTAGATGTGTTGAATTTTCTATACACATAACCTTGTGGTCTGTAAATAAAAAGTTTACTTCTTCCATTCCATACTTTCTGTCTTTGACCTCCTTTGGGGTTTGTCTCTCTCTGCACTGACTGGGAAGTCAGACAGAACCCCACAGGGTATCGCCAATATTTAGGAATAAATTTAATAAAACATGTTCAGAAATCTCTATGATAAGAACTACAGTGCAGAAAGAAATTTTAGAATAAGTAAATAGGTATAACAGGTCTATGAATGGAGTCTCTGGATTGTTAAATGCAGATGCAGTGCAACCTCAATCATAATTCTGACTGATTTAAAAATACACAGCTGGGCCAGGTGGCATGTGCCCGTAATCCTGGCACTCTGGGCATCTGAGGCAGGAGAACAGCAGGCTCAAGCCCAGCCTGGGCATCTTAGTGACTTAGTGAGACCCTATTTTAAAATAAAAAGGGCTGGAGATGTAGCTCAGTACAAAGACTCTTGGTTCAATCCACAGTACTTCAGACAAAGCAACCCCCCTCATAAACCAAATGTTTCAGCTGATTCTAAAATGTATGTAAATGGAAAAATGAAAGACCTAGAAATGTGCAAGCATTCATTAGCTACCACATAGGAGAACCTTAAAAAACGTTATGTCAAGTGAAAGAACCAAATCACAGAGACCATAGGTTGTGTGATTCCATGTGTAGGGCTGGTACAGAATAGGGAAATCTGAGGCAGAAAATATGTTCATGGTCGGCAGGAACTAGAGGAAGAGATGACTGCTAATGGATGCACAGTGCCTTTCTGAGATCATGAAAATCTCCTGAAAGGTAGTGAAAATTGCACAACTCTGAATATCCTAAAATCCACTCAGTTGTATCCTTTAAAAGGGTTCATTTTATGGAGTGTAAATCATATCCCAATAAAATAAAATTAATGGATATAGACTGTTTGGAAGAAAGTGACTTTAAGTGGTAGCAATCAAGCCAGTGTTAAAATGGTATTGAAACAGAGAAACACATCAAATGTAGTAAAACTGCAGAAATAAAACCACGCGTGAGGTCAGTTGATTTTTGACAAAGGTACAAAAATTTCAAATGTATGCCCGTCAGGAAAATTTGAAGGAAATAAAGAGGCAGTCCACAATGTGGGATAAAATATTCTCAATACATGTATCTCGCAAAGGACTTACGTTTAGAGCATAAGAATTAGTGACAAGCATTGGATGTGGTCATACATGCCTGTAATCCCAACACTGTGAGAGGCTAAGGCAGGAGGATCAGCCTGGGCAGCTGAGATAAGGTGTAACAAATGGGCAGAAGACTTGAATAGACATTCACGAAAGACAGAAATAGACAGCACACACATGACAAGTTGCTCGGCGTACCTGGTCATCAGGAAACTCCAGACCATAGAGGTGCTCAGTACCTACCCTGGGGTGGTTAAAATTAACGACCAATGGCATAAGCTGTTAGAGTGATGTTGCAGCCGAATCTCCCGTGCGTTACTAAGAACTGAAAGTAGTAAGAGCTCTAGGAGTTTCTTAAAAAGCCAAATTTAGATTCGGCATGGTGGCACACACCCGTAATCCCAGCATTCAAGAGGCTGGGGGAGGAGGATCACTCTAAGTTCGAGGCCAGCCTGAACCTCATAGGAAAACCTTGTCTAAAAAAAAACCAAAAAGCCAAACTTAAGTCTGTCATACAATCCAGCCATTCTACTCCAAATTTTTACCTAGAGGAAATGAACTAGATTGAACCTGATGTCATAGAAAAGACAGTAGTGTTTATTAACAGATTTTTTGGCAGAGAGGTGATACCAGGGGAATTGAGCCCAGGGCATCACATATGCTAGGTGGTGTTCTATCATTGAACTGTATGCCCAGCCTTTTTTATAATTTTATTTTATGGACAAGTCTCACTGTCTGGGTTGGTCTCAAACTTTGTGATCTTCCTGCTTCAGCCTCCCAAGTAGCTAGGATTACTGACCTTTGCCACCACACCCAACAACAGCAGCTTTAGTCTTAATAGTCTAAATAGGGAAATAACACAAATGTCCATCACTAGGGAAATGGATAAAGAAATTGTGACTTATCCACACAATGGAATTCTATTCAGTGATCAACAGTAACCAACTTTCTATAACATGAATTAATCTAAAATGTCTTTATGTTGCAGAAAAGTAGCCCAATTTAAAAGAAGGTAGACTCTATAGATTATAGTTCTATATATGAAGTTCTAGCACAGACCAAATGAGCTACAATGATTAAATCACAGCAGTGGTTGCTTCTGGTGGGATGAGGATTGATTGGATAGGAACATAAAGAATGTATTGGGGATGCTGGAAATGTTTTGTTTTTCTGTGCTGTCCAGGGCCTCATGCCATGCTAAGTAAGTACCCTACTTCTGAGCTACATTCTAGCCCTGAAAACGTTAAATATCTTGATTGGAATGGTAGTTATACAAGTATATATGCTTGTCAAGTGTCTTTAGTATGTGCCTTAAATTTTTTACAAAACTTACAAAAATTAATATATGCCCCTCTAAGAAATATTGGGATTTCCAGTGCCCCATAGAAATATTTTTAGATTAAGGAATCTCAGCCTGTTTCATTATATCAATTTATACTGTTGATGCCTTCTTAATAGTACCAATTGCTCCTAGAGGATTACTGGAATAACAAAAGAATGCTTGCTGGGCATGGATTGTGTGTCAGGCACTTCACGTGCTAACTTTGTAACTCTGTGAGGTAGAGGCTACTATTATTCTCATTTTGTAGTTACCAGTGTGGAACCATGGAAAGTTAATTTCTTCCCCAAGATTATATAGGAAGGGCCAGAGTTCTACATGGGGTGGGTTAGTTCCCGGCCCAAGCCCTTGGTGCTCCACTGGCACTGCCAGCATTTTTTTTCTTGCCTAAGTCCATAAGCACATTGCAACAGTTTATACATCAGGGAAGTAAAAAATACTTAAAGATACCTTTTAATACATTGAGAATGGGGCCCTAATTTGTGTGTCTTGTTGCTGGGCAGCTTGAGCCACTGGTGGTGCATGTATGGCTATCCAGTCAGGTGGCTTTTTTTTTTTTTTATTTTTTTTTGTCTTTTTGAGAAAGGGTCTTGCTATGCAGTTCAGGCTGGCCTTGAACTCACTTTGTAGCCCAGGCTGGTCTCAAACTCACAATGATCCTCCTGCCTCATAATGATCCTGAGTGGTGAGATTATAAGCGTGCACCACCACGCCTGGCTTAGGTGGCTTTTTATTAATTTTACTAGCAAAAAGACTGATAAAAGTGATTAAAACCATTCAGACCCAGTCGTGCATGTACCATCAGTAGTTCAAACTGGCAGGAACATGTTACTCTTAAATTTGATACTGTAAATCCTATAGATTTTTTTTAAATTCTTAAAGCTTAAAATGAGTTGAATCTACAGAAATGTGTACATTCCTGTTTTTTTGGAATTACAGTAAAGCTGGGTTGGTTCTTCTGATGAACACTTGTCAAAATCTGAGCCAGGATAATGCCATATTAAGTTAAACAAGCCAGGCACAGAAAGACAAATATTATGTGTTCCCATTCATACTGGAAACTGAAGAAGTTCATGTCATAGATGTGGATCATAGAATAGTGATTGTCAGAGGCTGGGAAAGGGAAACAGCAGAAACAGACAAAGGCGAGCAGTCAAACCAAAGGAGTAAGTCCTAGTGCTCTGTAGCGTGTCAGGTGACTAGTTTGTAACAGTTCATTATATATCTCAGAATAGCCAGGAGATAGGACTTTAAATGTTCCCCGCACACAGGAGTGCCGAATGTTTAAAGTGATGGATTCCTGAATACCCTGATTTAATTATAAACACATTGCCTATGTGAAATACACATGGTGCCTCATAAATATGTAAAGTTGTGGATCATTTTTAAAAAACAATTAGCTCTTTCCATACCTTCTTCCTACATTTCCATTTTGAAACTAGCACCCTGCCCAAAGTTTTTACAACTAACTATTCTTTAGGAAAACATAATTGTTCTCCTTAATGGGTTATTAAATGTGAAGTTATAAAGGAAAATATTATTTTAAATTCTTCAGTATTTCTGTTTTTCATTGCAGCTGAAGGAATAAAGCTAAGAGCCTCAAAAACAGTTTCCAATGGAACAGCTAAACCTGCTACTTCTGATAATTTTGTGAGTACAGTATGTATTTACTAGAACCTCAGTCTTTAATAGTTTCGAAAGCTATAGTGTGTGTCATGTGTGAGCACCCCCTGTTAGAGACCAAGTCATGGAACTGCCCTGTGCCTGCTACAGCTGAGTCTGCTTCCGAACTAGATTCTGTTGGTTCATTCACACAGTAAAGGTTGAGAGGCTCTGTGAGAGGAAAGGTTTGTGTTAATGTTTCAGCGTAGTAAGTGATTTTTACAGCCATTTTAAATAACATTATCTTTTGGGGAAAAGATTTTATGTGTCACCCTTACAGTTACCAAAGTCAACAGATTTTTTTTTTTTTTTTGGTACCGGGAATCAAACTCACAACCACACAGTTGCCAGGCAGGTGCTTGTGCCACTGAGCTATATCCCTAGACCCTAAGAGATTTTTTTTAAACAATGAAAGCTTGAATGAAATTGCAAAATATAGGCCAGAGATGAGTTCTGAAATATTTTATGCATATCATTTACTTATAAAAGTAATGATTATGAAGGTAAAGCCAAATGAAAATACCTGTCATGAAGCTAAATACTCTGCTGTCTTACCAGTTATATAGACTACTAATTACATTACATAAGAACTTATGTATGCATGGGGCTGGGGATTTAGCTTAGTGGCACAGCACCTGCCTGGCAAGTGCAAGGTCATGAGTTCGATTCCTGGTACTGGAAAGAAAAAAAAAAAAAAGAACTTATATATGCATATAAGTTCTAACAGGACAGATGATTAAAAAAGCATTGTTCTGTATTGGATTTAATAATTCTCCAGTTTTTAGTAGTAATTCTTTAAAATGTGTTCTTCGATACTTTCATGGTAATTTAACTAAACTTTTCAAAATATTGCTATCATTGTATTTATCTGGTCTTAGAACTACAGATTGAGCATCCCTAATCCAAAAAATGAGAAATGTTCCCAAATTTGAACTTTCTGTACATTTACCTGACACCACTTACCTGATAAGTCCACTCTATAAACCCTTGTTTTATATAAAAAATGAATGGGTTGGGGATATAGTTCAGTGGTGCAGCACCTGCCTGGCAAGTAGAAGGTCCTGAGTTCTATTTCTGGTACCAAAAACCCCCATAAAACTATTACAAATACTATATGAAATCACTCAGGCGGTGTATATAAAGTGTACATGAGTCAGAAGTGAAATTCATATTTAGACTTGGGTCCTATCTCTAAACTATCTCATCATGTATATGCTGATACTGGCCACAAACATTTTGGATAAAGAATATTCATCCTGTATTATATTTTCATTTTAGGGCTGGGGATGTAGCCCAGTGGTAAAATGTTTTTCTGTTGTGCATGAGGCTCTATGTTTAACCCCTAGCACTGCAATAATATTCATTATTATTGTTCTTGTTATTTATTAGGTATTTTCCTCTTATTTTAGTGATATATCTCAGTTTATTGTAAAGCTCAATATTTGCAAACATATCAAGAAAATAACTATTTTTCTAACTGCAGTTAGCACTTAATTGATCGGAAGTTGGGAACTTAGAGGTTGGGAATTCCTTAATATTAGTAGTGTCTCTCTATAAGTCAGCAGAATGTAATTAATACTAGAACGAGAGCATCCCATGTAGCCAGGTAAACAACAAAGAAAAATTTTTAATTATACTTCAAACCACAATATTCAATATACTTTTTTTTTCTTTTCTCAGTGAAATAACTGTATACAGCTTTCTGTTAGGAAAAAAAGAATGTAGACACCCCATCTGACCTGCTATTCTTTTCTTATCTCCTAAAAGGATATGAGCATTAGAACAACTTATACAAATAAATAGGCTTTGGGAAAGCTAGAGTACAGCAGACCCTTGACTTACGAACTCAACTAGTTCCCGAGGGCTGGTTGTAACTCAAGTGGTCGATTGAAGGAGCGGGCTTCTCTCCAGCCTTCAAAGTCCCTCTCCTTACAGGCAGATCTCAGTGTCCTCAGAGAGACATGGGCCCAGCAGTTCTCAGTTAACCCCATACAGGAAACGATGTTACGATGTTCCTTCCAGAACTCTTTAAAGGTTAGATCTGTATCTGAGACCATCTGGAGGCACAGGCGGCTGGCACTCAGGAAGTAACTCAACAGTTTGGTCATAAGTTAAAGCTGAGATTCCAATCATACTCCCACTTGTTCATATGTCAGGCCAGTCATAACTCAAGGATCCTCTGTATTTGTACCATTGTCCTTTTCTGTTGAAAAGCCGTAAACTCATAAGAAGGTGAACAAGTTAGGAGACATAATAAAATAATTTCAGAGATCCCGGTACTGGAAAAAAACCAAAACCAAAAAAAAAAAAAAAATCAATACAAATCACTGTTCTTGTTACGTTTCAACTTATAAGTGAACTGTGTGTTTAGCACAGCTTCTAAGGACAAGAGAATAACAGCTGTGCGTGAACACCATGTTTCTACTGTGGGTTTTTGGGACAAAAGAATAGTAGCTGCGCAGCCAACTGAAAGCCGAGAGTACAAAACTCTGAAATCTATGTTTAGTTTCCCCATTTATGAAAACATGGCATAATTTCTATGAGACATAGAGTATGTAGCAAGTAGAAGAATGTCACACATTTGAATTCAAATATGTAAATTTTATATACATTCTACTAAAAAATTCTGCTTTCAAGTGATATAAAACAATTGCTAAATATAAATATTTATTTCCACAGGATGAAGATTTGAAGTGGGTTGAAGAAAATATTCCCTCTTCATTCACAGATGTGTAAATATCCTCTATTAAAATCTAAATTTAGGCTGTTAAGGGGTGGCACTCACTCTGTCACTGTGCTTTTCAAACCTCACACCTCTGCGTTCTTGTAGGCCGCCCCCTCATCGGTGATGAAGCTACACTGAAAACCAAGGGGTGACTTAGGCTCTTTCTCCTTCCTTTTCACTGTAGACCGCTTTGATACTGATGACCTATAACCGACTCTAGCCTTTTCTGATTTATACTAGCAGGATCATTGTTTTGTTTTAATTTTATATTATGGAAAAGTTCAAACATATATAAAACTTTAAAACACATGTAGCCATAATACCATGTATTGTGGGGAAATTTTTTGTTTTATTTTGCTTTGTTTTGTCTAGGGGAGCTTTTGGAAGAACAACATGAACATAGAAAAAATAGATTTTGTAGGAATCCCCTCTGGGAACTTTGAAGTACTCTGATTCCTCTTTCTCTGTCTTGTTTGACAAGAATTCCAGGTAGCTGTTTCCACATTAAAGACCGTCAGAATATATTCTTTCCTTTCCCTGCTTCCATCTGGCTGCTACTTAGACAGTTTCTGTCTGACATTCCTTTTGCCTGAAGAGTTTCTGTTTCTTCTCATGCAAAATTGCTGGAAATGAACCTGTCAGGTTTGTCAGAAAAGGTCTTTCCTTCACTGTTTTTGAAAGATATTTTTGCTGGGTATAAAATTCTCGTTTGTTTTACTTTCAGGACTTCAAATTATCACTTAAATGTCTTCTCACTTTCAGAATTCCAGAAAAAAAGTCTGCTTTAGTTCTTTGATCCTCTCATAAGTTATGTGGGCTTTGACTTATGTGATTGATTGATTGACTAACTTTAAGATTTTCCCTTTATTTTCATTACTATGAATATGATTCTAGGGGAGTGTGTGCACACACATATGCACATGCATATATTTTTATCTGTCTTGGCTCTATACCTGGTGATCATATAATAACTCTGTTTTAACATTTTGAGGAAATGCTAAGCTCTTCCAGACTAGCAACTTTATTTTATATTTCTATCAGTGATATGTAGAGATTCTAATTTATGTATATTCTTGCTAGCACTTGTTATTGTCCACTTTTTATCTGTTTTAGTGACCATGAAGCAGTATCTCTTTGTGGTTTTGAGTAACTGGAACTTGAACTGTCTTGTAGAGAGACTGGTATTATTTAAAGTGTAACTAAAATTCATGCATACATCAAGTCTGTGCAAAATAGGAACTAAAATGACCCATGCACGGTTATACTGTTTACTTGTAACAGAAAGTATGTGTACATATTCTTTCATGTTTACCCATATATTAGTATTTCTTCTTTCCTTTCCGCACACCTAAGCAAAGAGCTTTCTCCTGTAGATGTTTCGTTAGTGTTCCATGTAGCATATGTTTGCTAACAGATTCTCTGTTTCATTTATGTGAAAATGTATTTATTTTGCACTCTTTTTTTTTTTTTTGGTCTTTTTGAGGCAGGGTTTCACTATGCATTTCAGGCTGGCCTTGAGCGCACTTTGTAGCCCTGGCTGACCTCCACCTCACAATGATCCTCTTGTCTCAGCCTCCTGAGTGCTGGGATTACAGGCACGCATCACCACGCCCAGCTTGCTCTCTATTTTAAAGGCTAGCTTTGCTGGATGTGGAGATCTTGACTGACTTTTGCGTGAGTGTGTCCAGCATATCCTTCATAATTTTCATGTTGTAGCTGTGGATAGAGACTTCCTCAGGCTCTGCCCAAAGCTCTGTTGTACACTGAAGCCAGGTGAAGTTTCCTGGAATATTTTCATACACGTATCGTCTTACCCCTATTTTCATTTCCTGAGCAAAGATTATGTTGTATGCCACCTCATCCCACCCTAGACATCCAGGCAGTGGTAATAATGAAACGAAAGTTAAACAAGTGCCTGATTCTATAAATACCACCTTCTGCAATGTGTTACTTGTCCCTCTTAAATTCTCACAGAAGCATGTGACTTGTGGGGTTGCTAATTAAACGGCAAATCACCACTCACATAGTTACCCAGCTGTTAAAGGATTATTAACAATGGACTGAAAAGTGAATACAGCTGGAGATCCATTGTGTTTCTGATTACTGATTTGTGTGTTTTTAGTCACCGATATTCCTTTAGTGGTGTGGTGGTAGCGAACTTATGGCACACATGCCACATCTGGTGAAAAGCTGCGCCTTCACTGATAGAGAATCGAGGATTGCTGGTTGTATGCTGTGTATGTTCCCATTTTGAAATTTTAGTCAACCTTGAACATTTTTATAGGAACACTTTCTTGAAAGTACACACATCCTAAATAAGTGTATAGCTCAATAAATGTTAAAATGAATACATGGGTGTAATCAGCACCCAGATCAAAAAGGAGAACATGGCTAATGCCCTAAAAACCTCCTAGTTTCCCTGTCAGATAGGGAGTCCACTTCCCCAAAGGTCCTGCACTCCTGGTATCTATAACTGTAGATTCTATCGTTTTTTAAAATTCTGTCCCTCAGTAGCTGATCAGTTTTCTCAGCTGTGTAACATCCCATTGTATAAATATAAAAGTTTATTCCTGTGGGTTGTTTTCAGTTTAGGTCTGTTAAGAACAGTGCTGTGTGGAAATTCTTCTCTGTGTCTGGTGGTGAACCTCGGTCATTCCTTCTGTTGGCTGTGTATGTCCAGGAGTGAGACTTGCTGAGCCGTAGGATAGTCCTGTATTCATCAAGGGCTCACTGGCCTTCCTTTTAATAACAGTGTCACTTTCTTCCTTTTATTTCAGAGCTCTCCCGGTGTTAGTGGATTCAGATGAGGTAAAGTATTTTTGTTTATTTCTTTAGAGTTGTTACTTTCACAAGGAAAGAAATCCTGAAAGTTGTCTTTTTAAAGATTGTCATTTGGCCGATGGAAGGACGCTGATAAAGCGAAAAGGATTTGTAGGCAAAGTCTGATTTCATTCGGAAGCAAAATAAAGCTTGTTGGTGTGAAAGAGGATTATTTATGAGATGTTTAGTGGTTTTCTAAGATTTTTGTATATAGGTAAGAGTTTAGGAGATTTTAAGACAGCACAGTTTTTTTTATTTGTTTGTTTTGGGTACTGGGAATCAAACTCAGGACCTCACACTTGCCAAGCAGGCGCTGCGCCCCTGAGCTAAATCCCCGGTCCCAGGACAGCAGTTTAACGTCTGATACTTGTAGATACTTGCTGGGGTATTTTATCTCTTTTTCATGTACTAAGCAGGAAATATGAGTAGAAGATAGGGACTTAGGAAATTAAAAATAAATGTGGGTCAGCTAACACGGAGGGTAGCGGAAGGCAGGGAGAAGTCTGAAGTGTTAATGAAAGGCTGATGGGTGCACGCACATTCGCTCATACAGAGGCAGAGGGAGAAGGTGCTGGAGGTGCAGAACCTGAGAGCTGCGGGAGCTGTACTTGTAGGCAGGGGGGGAAATGAGTAGCATCATGTGTTTTGTCCGTAGCAGGATAAGAAGGTTTGAGATGGCCTTGCTACTCAGTGTTAAACTTGAGGATTTATAACTGCAAAAAGCTATGCCATTGAACTACTTTTAAAGGAGCGTTTAAATTATTTACCTGATAAATAACTGGTTTATGGTTTCAGAAATACATTAATTAAGTGAGATGAATTCCTGGATCACTACACCTCGGAGAGCCATCCTGGCTCACGCTACCTTGTGTTTGAGAATCTTAGAGTTCCAGAAGCAGTGTCAGCATTTTCACACACCTTTTCTTTTCTTATAGGAAATTATGACCAGATCTGAAATGGCTGAAAAAATGTTCTCTTCAGAAAAGATAATGTGATTGGACCCTGTATAAATGAAACCAAGTTAACGGTAAAGGACTGTCTTTCCTCAGGCCTAAGAAAACTTTGTATTGATAGAGCACAGGAAGTTTTTACTGTGTTATCTTGGAAATCCGTGTATTAAAATGAAGGATTCAGGTGGAGGCGGGGAGGTTCTACGACACCCTTAAAGCTGACTTTTAAATGTCAGTTTAATGTCCATTGAACTGCCTGGACTTGGAAATAATCTGAGAACAGCAGTATCACCACAGAGATGTATCACAGGCATCTGTGAGTGGGCTGTGGCAGGCCTGTGCGTTTGGGTTCTGTCTCTTTTCTCTGGAAAATACGATAATTCCAGGTTTTTAAAAAATTTATATAAACAGGCCTGCTATACTTTCCACTCAGCTTGGAAGTAGATGATGGTGTGATTCTTCTGCAGTGGAGTGTATCAGTGTCTCCATCTTTGGGATTTATAGGTACCAGACGCAAAGATCATTTCCTTTTACTTTCATGCTGAAGGAACTTAACTTCGGAACCTAGGCTTGTTTATGTGTTTCTTTTGCCTTTTGCTGGTGGTCTGCACAACGCCCTTGTCTATAAATATTGCTGTGCACATGGGTTCCTGGAGTGAGGTCTTCTCTGAGCTCAGGAGACATGAGTGTACAAGGAGAGAAGTCTTGAGGGTCACTTCCAGAGATCTGCTCTGCTACTGTCCCCACCCTCGGGCCATGGGTACATGGCTGCTGCTGCGTCTGCCGGGGTAGGTGTTGGCTTCCCCTGAGAATTCCCACTTAGCCGGGCGGGCCCTCTACTCCTGCTGAGCCTTGTGGAAACCAGAACTGTTATTTACATCATCTTGGTATTTTCTGTTTCGTAATAAAGACATATATTTAATAACGCAGTACATCACAGTTAATTTGTAATTTAGTAACTTTCAACCATGTTTTACACCTGATTTTGTTATATTATTTTGCAATGTGTGATTTGAAATTTTTTGTTTTCGTATCTTTTTTAAATATATAGACTGTTATAAACTTGAAAGGCAATTGAATGTAGTATGAAAATGTGAATGTTTTGCTGCTTTCCTGACCAAAGACACGGGGCTAGGCGCCATTTGAATAGTAGTGATGGGTAGAATCTTCTTTGTCTTTCTCTGAAGCAGTGCTAACTTTGTGAGTTGAGAGTGACTTCAGAGAATTTTTGTTGAAAAAACATGAAAATTGTAAGCTATACCAATACTTAAACGTAATTTTTTCACTGTGAATCCACAAAACTAATTTTTTTTTTCTTTTTGAAGCCTACTTTTTTAGGTTCTTATTTATACATTTTAAAGAAGTTAGTAAAGATTTATTTCTAGTAGTAATGTCTCTTTGAAAGATACTTGCAAATGTGTTTTCAGTAGTGAACATCTGGCAAGTGAACGGTGCTGGCAGATGTTCTGGAGAAAGGCCTGGTTCTCAAGATGCCAGGGCCTTGGGGCAGCCTTCCTGGGAGAAGAAGGTCTCCTTTAGCAGCCTGGGCTCCATTCTTGACTTCGGTTCCTGCCCACCCACTCTTGCCTAGCTGTGTGTCTGTGCCGGTTTGGACATTTTCTGCCTTGAGCCCAGTTGTTTCAGGCCAGAGGTGCCCACTGACTTCTTCGTCTAATCCTCTGCCCTGGAGTAAGCCTGGGCGTGTGGCCAGACGGGCTGTGGATTGTGTGGGGTGGGGATGGGAGTTGACTGTAAGGGTGATGCTGTGGGAAGCTGCCTCTGACATAACCCGAGCAGTGTTTACAAAGACACTTCTTTCAGCCACTGGGAAGATAAATGATGTTACCTGTGTGGCATAGCTGCCGGCCAAAATGCCACCTTTCTCTCTTTCCAAAGGAAGCAGGGTCTCCTAGTCTTCTCAGAAATGCTTTTAGAAGGGCATGTGCTTGCCTTGCTTTTGAGTCACCTGCTGATGTTTAGGACCTGAGCTGAGTGTTCCCCTGGGCCCTGCTTAGCCCCACGTGTGAACAGGAGGCTGCGCTAGCACCACTGCCGCGGGCTGCCTGCAGGACAGCGGGAGAGTGCCCACCTGCCCCCCCCAGCTCTCCCTCCCTCCTCCCTTCCGGGTGCTCACAGCCATTTACCAGGGTGGGTCTCCGTACTAATGAAGGGCTCTGAGGATACAGGTCCAGTTTTATGTGTTTTTAGGCAAAATGCTGAAGAGTTCTTGTCATCCTGTCCCTGTTAGATTTATATAATGTGTGAAATTTGCTGAAGAGGGAATTTTCATAATTTGGTTTAGATTAGTAAATATTTTCTTTGAAGCATAGTCAGTTTATTTCAAAATTAAGGAAAAATAGGTGAATATTTTAAGCCTCAGAGATGTTACAATATTCTCATACTTTTCCTGTAAAGAAAATAATATATCTTTAATATACTGTAGAACACCAACTTTCCTTTCTGTATTACAGTACGTGTGTTTGACTCCTATAACGTCAATACTGAAAGTATTAAAAATGTATATATAATGTTGATCTTTATACCCTCTTTTTGAAAGAGGTTTGGGTCTGTCTCACTAGCTCGACACCATAAAGGTGGAGAGATGTTACGCTAGATTTATGTATCTAGTTCTGGTACTTGTGTCTTAATATGATCAGCAGCATGCAGGAAGCAATACAAAACACCAGGCCTTATCCTTGTAAGAAGTAAGTTTAACACATGGTTAAAGTTGTGAACATACCAAATGTATATATGACAGAAGTAGGATTTTAAAGACATGTATATTATAACATAGGGACTCAGTACTGCGTTAAGAAACTTCTTTAGAACTAGGAAAACATTTATTTGGGAAGAAAGTTTAGTCGCTTAAAAAGTTGTATTTTTTTAATTTAAAAAGTCTAAATTATTCTATAATTTAGAAGAAGTTTCTTTGAGGGATTTTTTTTTTTGAAAAATCAATGTATTTTTGTGCCTTAATATTTGTTTTACTTTTAATAAAATGCTTTGTGAAATTTTGGATTGTTAATTTTTGATGAAGCTGTTAATGCTAGGATATGAAGACCTACAGGAAATACATACTCCAGTAGATGAGGAAATGTGAAATTCTTCAAGGAAGAGGAATAGCTACTTGAACAGAAGTGTTTAACATAGGTATTAGTAGGGGAAATTTTAAAACATCAAGTTAACCTACATTTGTGCTATTATATATGTTTGTAGACTCCCTTTGCTATCAAAGTCTGATGAACGTGCTCATTAATGATGGTAATATAATTAACTGACTCAGTCTTTGTGAAAGGAAGCTCAACAGTGTGTTTATAAGCTCTGAATAATGTCATTTTTGGTGATATTTTAAAAGATAACTCAAAATACAGAATAAGGTTTCTGTACAAAAATGTTTCTTACAGCATTACCAATAAAATTAGAGATAAACTGTCAAGGATAGAATAATGAATTACTGTTTAACCACCTTATAAAATATTATGCAGCCATAAATTATTATGAAGAACTTACAATAACAGAAAAATATGTGTGAGAAAGGATGCAAGGGAATATATCTACGTGAAAACCAAATAGAGACAGGATAGCTGGCAGTGTACCCGTGGCACTCACGGTTAGGGTTGAGGTTCTGCCATGGTGTGGTCACGGCCTGGTCCCAGTCTTTCATGAAGTTAAGACCAGAAGTCATTATCTGCTCATCACTGAAGACGTCTGGGGAGGATGTAGAGGTTGGAGGATGTCCCTCCTCCACGTGGATCCCAAGGTTTATTTCCATCTTGTAGACCTGCTGTCTTCTGCCAGCCGGAAGAAGGGAAAGGACAACCTGAAATGTCCAGGGGGCTGGGCGTGGAAGTGGCAAAGAGGAACGTAGTCCCTTGCAGAGTTAAGTCATCTGGCCCGATCAGACCACAGGGTAGGCTGAGCACCGTCGGTGGTGAGCGCCTGCCTACAGTCTCACTCCGCAAGGAGAACATAGAGCAACACCTCTGCCTCTGCCAGATGGTTCAGGGGCGGTAGACTACGGGAAACTTAAAAATGGCTCTTCTGCCTTTCTGTGTTGGCCTAATTTTCTAAGGTAAACATACATTAATGAAACCCATCTTGCCATAAATAGGTGGAACATGGGGACATTTCCCTGTGGACGTTCTCCAAGCCTGGAGTGTGTGTGCATGCGTGCCTGTGTGTTGGAAGCGGGTAGTCCCAGAGGGAAGCAAGAACTATTGTAATAACTGATGACACTTCAGAGAGTGTTGCAGTTCTTGCAGAACCCAGGATTTGTTACCGATTGTACTTGGCACAGTAGTCAGTGAGATAGGTGCCATTATTTTCCAAGAAACCTGAGAGGCACCCTTCAGGGAAAGTAGTAAGACTGGTGTGTTAGTGGTGGGAACCATCCCTGAAGTCCTTGGAGTCCTGGGAAGAGGGGAAGTTTCATGAACAGATTCATGCTTGCTTATTATGGGTCCTGATAATGTATTTAAAGGGCCTAGTGCATAGACTTTCATAAAGCAGCAAAGGTTTGCATGGGAGATACAGCAGCGATTGTAGGTGGGACTGAGACTCAGCTGAGACAAACTCCATATGAGGGGCTGGGGATTTAGCTCAGTGGCAAAGTGCCTGCCTGGCAAGCGCAAGGTCGTGAGTTCGATTCCTGGTACCAGAAGAAAAAAAAAAAAACAAACGAAAAACAAACTATGAAATTTAGACATGCAAAATTGATCCCCTCCTGTTAAAAGGAAGTTACTCTGGGGACGTTCTTCTTAAAGTGATTGTGGATTTACAGCCAAATTCTGAGTAACATAGGCTGGCCTGGTTTTGAATTCAGATGTCATTAATTTTGGCGACACTTTTTAAAATGTATTTTGGAGAATAAGAATCTGCAGTGAAAGTTTATGTGCAAGAAAAGGTTGAGAAGTCATCCAGCAGGTGGTGCCAAAGTAATGTCTCTGAAGAGTTGATTGCAACATTGCAACCCCAGCCCTGGCCTTTAAAACTGGAATAAATGTACTTTTACTTAGCAGATGCCTTCAGAAAAATTTGAGGATTAAGAAAACTTTAAAAACGTTAAATATTACAACTTTTAAGATACTAAAAATTTAAGGGCTAGGATGTGGCTCAGTGGTGGATCACTTGCCCAGCATGCACACGTTTCTGGGTTCAACCCTCGGCATAAAGAAGGAAGAAAAATGTTTCTAAAACTTTCCATGAGAGGGTTGGACTGCATGCGAGACTTGAGATACACTGTTTGCTTTGGTTACCCCGCATTACATTTTTTCACATGACTGTTGCCTTTCCAGTTAGCCTCCAAATTTTTTGTTTGTTTGTTCTTGGTTTTCTGTTTTTTTTTTGAGACAGGGTCTCACTATGTAGTTGAGGCTGGCTTTGAACTCACTATATAGCACAGGGTGCTCTTAAACTTGTAGCAGTCCTCCTGCCTCAGCCTCCCGACTGCTGGGATTACAGGTGTGTGGCACCACACCCAGCAGCCTCCAAATTCATGTCACTACATAAATCAGAATTCTCATTCTGTGCTTCTTGATTTGATAAATAGAGATTTGTTTGGGGTGTAGCAGAGTCCAGAGTTAGCAGCAGTGTCTTTTGTTTTAGCACTATTGAAAATACTGAAAGTAAATTGTGCACTTCCATAGTTTCCTTTTTGCTGGAGACTGAACTCAGGGCCTTGTGCATGTTAGACTACCACTAAGCTACATCCCCAGCCCACTCTTCCTTTTTTTTTTTTCTTTTTGAGAGAAGGCCTTGCTATGCAGTTCAGGCTGGTCTTGAACTCACTTTGTAGCCCAGGCTGGCCTTGAACCCATAACAATCCTGCCTCAGCCTCCCAAGTGCTGGGATTACAGGTGTGTACCACCATGTCCAGCCACTCTTCCTTTTTTAAAAGAGAAAGTTTGAGCATTGATATATCTCTGTCCAGTGAGCCAGGCATGGTGGCACACGCCTGTAATCCCAGCACTCAGGAGACAGAGATGAGGATTGCCAAGAGTTGAAGGCCAGCCTAGGTTAGTGAGTTCAAGACCACCCTGAACTACATAGTGAGATACTGTCTCAAAAAATAAAAACAAAGAAAGGACAGTGAACAAGTTGGCCTTTTCACTGGCTATAAACTTGCTGTTAAAATTTATCCCTATAAAATCTTGAATTTATCCTTATAAAATCTAATTGGAGATTTCAAGTTCTAAAAGTAGCAACCCAAGGAGCATTTACTCAAGAAAAGTGGCTGAATCTCAGAAGAACAAACATGGTGGTGGTAACCTGTCCTGGCTCCCTAGTACTGGAAAGAGCACAGTGGGGTTGGAGAGTTTTCAAAGCTTTATTCCCAAAGAATTGTTATTTATAGTTGAGTATCCACGTTGCAAAATCCTGAGAACCAGAAGTGTTTCACGTTTGGGAATTTTTTCAGATGTTAGAACATTTGCATATACAAAATGAGATATATTGGGGATAGGACTCAAATCTAAACACAAAATTCATTAATGGCTCATATATATCGTCTAGCCTGAGGGCAATTCTATTTATTTATTTATTCATTTATTTATTATTTATTGGTATTGGGAATCAAACTCAGGACCTTGCGCTTGCTAGGCCGGCGCTTGTGCAGCTGAGCTATATCCCTGGCCCAAGGCAATTTTATAATAATACTTTAGTGCACCTACATTTTGACAGCAACTGTCACATGATGTCAAGTGTGGAGTTTTCTACCCATAGTGTCACATTGCCACTCAGAAAGTTTCAGATTTGGGAACATTCTGGATTTCATATTTTGGGATTAGGAGTGCTTAATCTGTATTTGACTTGTATGACGGTTTCTTAGAAGAACCACTAGAAAGGTTTGTCTATTTGACCTGAGTCAGAGCTTTTCCAGTGCTGAAGTCCCTTTCCAGAGGATGCTCGATAAAAAATTTTAAAAAGTCACAGGCACATGTTTTAAATGTGCCCAAGGCAGTAAATCACAGTACAAGCAATAGGCTGACTAAAATCCTTCAAAGATCCCCACAGGGACACTGAAGAACTCTGACATATTTCTGGGACTCTTCAAGGGCAATGCAACTGTGCATGTTAAGCAAAGATGACAAGCGGGAAGTGAAGACTAAGGCAGAGTTGTAAACTGCCTGGACATGTGTTGGAGATGTGTCCTATCACAAAAGCACTTCAGCAAAGACGGCTATTGACTGCTTTCAAGAGTTGAAATCTCTTGGCCAACTGCTGGATAATTGAGTAGAGAATTCAGTGACCACATATTACAAAAAAATGCAGACTTTATAGAATTTGTTAAGTCACTACACTGTAACAGGTAGCCACTAAATTAAGCCCTGGGCAGAACTGTAATGGTTAAGCTTAATTGTTTCCTTGGCTGGATTATGAGACTGATAGAAAGTTGGTTCGTGAAGGTTCTATAGGTAAATGTGCTTTTGGCAGGGCCCCATTGGAGGTGGGTTTGTGCCTTTGAGGATGTATCTTGCTGGTGCTGTTCCCCTGTGCTCTTCTTTCCACATTCTATGAACTGAGCAGCTTGGGTGTATCTCAGTCTTCATCATGTTCCTGCCTAGGAGCCAGTCACCCATGGACTCAATCCCCTGAAACCATCAGCCAAATTAAGTCTCTCCTTTAAGTTGTCAGGTAGCATGTCCCAACAAAATAAGGAGGTAGAATCTGATTTTCAGAGTTACTATGTTATTTAAATTGTCCACTTTCCTCCAAAAACTCATGGCACAAGCAGAGAAACAAAGTATGATCCATGCACAGGAGCAAAAGCAATCAAAATGTTCCTGAGAAAAAAATCAGCTGTTGGACATAAGAGACAAAATTTTTTTTTCATTGTTGGAATTTTAGTTGTTCCAGTGTCATTTTCATCTCCACCTAGACTCTAAGCAACATGAAAACAGAGGTCACATTACTTACGGTTTTCAAGGCAGTGCGTCAGAAATACTGGCTGTTATTGAAACATGATGGAAGGAAAGTCTCGGTAGTGGACATCGGCTTGCTCGGTTCTGTGCTACTTTGGCTGCACTGTGCCTGCTGCTCACTCTTGCATCCCCGAAGGCTATCCTCGTTGCAGGCACTGTGTAGCTCTGGTGATGTGCCATGCACTCCTGCAGCATAGCCAAAGCGTGAGCTTAGTAGGTCCAGCGGGTTCTGCTCATCTTCTGCCATCTGCCCGAAGGCTGGACTCAAGAGTCACTGAGTCTGACACCTTGGGGAATCAAACAGAAGGCAGAAGAGGACCTGAACACATGCTCCAACACAGTGGAATAAAAATGGTAAACTATTTTATTGAACACAGGAGAAAACAGTAACGAACAAATGAAAAAGATAAATAGAAAATGAGCAGGAAAAAAGGAAAGGGAGTATTGGAATATGAGGAATAACCCCCTTGTCATTGAGTGACTTGGATGCAGTGGAAGGATTCTTCAGGAGACACAAACTCCTGTAACTGAATCAGGAATAAGTAAACAATGTTTATAGACCCAGAAGTGATGAAATTCAACTCGTAATTAAAAAAAAACTTCATAAAATCCAAGTCCCAGTGATTTCACCACTGAGCTTTACCAAACATTTAAAGAAAGATTAATATTAATCCTTCACAAATGTTTTCCAAAAATAGAAGTGGAACACTTCCCAACTCATTTTATGAGGTCAGGAAAACTTTGATGGCAAAACTAGCCAAAAACAAGAAAACTGCAGACCAGTATTTCATGAGCCTGGAAACATCCTCAGCAGTACACTACCAAACCAAATCCAGCAACATAATAAAGATTTACACGCCAGGACTAGACAGGATTTGTCCCACGAACGCAAAAGTGGCTTAACATCTGAAAATCAGTGTAAACAGCATATGAGTTGGACAAAAACCCAAACACGTAATGATCATCTCAGTAAGTACAGAAAAAGCATTTACCAAAATTGAACATCCTTTCATTATATACTCAATAAACCAACAATAGAAGACTTCCTTAACATGATAAAAATAGATATCCACAAAAACCCTATGGTTAACACTGTACTCAGTCGTGAAAGACTGGAAGCGTTCCTGCTGGTATGGTCTGAATATTGGTCTCTTCCCAATTCATGTATTGAAATCTAATCCCCAGTGCAGTGGTATTAAGAGATGAGGTCTTAGGGGTGGAGCTCTTGTGGACAAAATTAATACGCTTGTAAAGGAGGCCTTCGGGAGCTTGTTCACTTCTACCATGTGAGAGGACAGCAAGAAGGTGCCACCTTGAGGTGGAGACTCCTCATCCACGGCATCTGCTGGTGCCTTGATCTTGGATTCCCCAGTCTTCAGAATTGTGCTAAATAAATATCTGTTCCTATATATTAGTGTGTATAAGGTTTTTTTGTTGTTGTAGCAGCCTGAAGGGACTAAGATGCTCTCTCTAAGGAACAAAATAAGAATGTCCACTCTTAACTACGTCTGTTGAACATTGTACTGGAGCTTCTAGTCAACACAATCAGATAAAAAAAAATAAAAATTATTGAAATTATAATAGAGAAATCAAGACTGTATTTCTATATTACATGATCTTGGGCTGGGGATTTAGCTCAGTGGCACAGTGCCTGCCTGGCAAGCACAAGATCGTAAGCTTGATTCCCAGTACCGGAAAAAAAAAAAAGGGCACATCTACATGATCTTGTATATAGAAAACTTCTAAGAAATCTACTAAAAACTATTAAATTGAGTTCAGCAAAGGCACAGGATACAAGATTAATGCACAAAAATCATCATTTCTACATATTTGCAGTAAATCCAAAAATGAGAGTAACAAATCTGCTTATAGTAGCATTGAAAAAAAGAGTAAAATACCGAGGAATGAATCTAACAAAGAAGTGCAAAACTTGTACAATGAAAACTACAAGATGTTGAAATAAGAATGAATTTTTCAAACCCCATGTTTACAGGTAAGATGACAACACGATACAGTATTAAGATGGTTGGCTGGGAATATAACTCAGTGATGGAGCATTTATCTACCATGCAAGGTCAAAGGTTCATTCCCTAGTAACACACACACACACACATACACACATACATAATGCAGGCTTGGTGATGCACACCTATAATCCCAGCTACTCAAGAAGCTGAGGCAGAAGGAGGACAAGTTTAAGGGCAGTCTGAACAACTTACCAAGATCTGGCCTCACATTTTCAAAAAGAAGGGGTGGGATGTAACTCAGCACTTCTAGGTTCGGTCCCCTGTAGTGGGGTGAGATGATAACGAGCCCCCAAACTTATTTACAGAGTCAGCACAACTCCTGTCAGAATTACACATGACTTTTTGTTTGAAACTAATTCTAAAATTTATACAGACTTTCAAGGGACGGAGCTAACTCCCAGAGATAATAGATGTGTTTGCTTGTCACACCTTTGACACACACTGCCAATCCCCTTTGACACACGCTGCCAATCCCGAGCCCATACTCTCACCCAAAACCTTACGAGGCTCCTGCTTCCTTGTTCCATGCTCTCTCCCCTGGCCACCCAAGGAACTAGACAACTAGAAACCACCTCTAGAGCCCGGGCCCCATCAGAGCTGTTCCAGTTATCCAGTTCAGAACCTGCATAGCTTGCTGACTTTGCTTGGTCCAGCTCTGCGAAAGGATAGCACAGGCTCTTGTGCACAGGTCCTCCCCCTGCCTGTCACCTCAGCCCCTCCTCGTGTGGCGCAGTGCGACTGCCTTGCATCCTGTTTCCAGGTGTCTGGAGTGTGATAAAGACTTCTGCCTTCGTGGCAGTTATCTGCATGTGTCTCACCAAAGGCAGTTCCCACAGATCCCAGGACCACTGACGTGAGTAACCAGAGACAGCATAAACAAACAATAGAGGGAACTAATAGAGGCAACGGTTGGCTCTTTGAAAACATAAAAGTATAAATAGCTGTAAGGGAAAGAGAGAGCTCTTTCTCGGAGTGGCCTCAGGTGATCTGTGAAAATGGTTCACCACACTCTTGACCCAGAAAACCGCACAAAATCATGCAAAGCAAGAGGTTCGAATCTTTGGTTCACTTTAAAAACTACCCAGGCCCCCAAGGGTATGCATTTCTGAAGGGCCACCAAACACCTGAAAATGTCACCTGAAAGAAGCAGTGTGTTGCAACAGTAGAGCTGGTGCGTGTGCCTGGACCAAATAGTGTGGCTGGGCCCACGGCTGCTGCCCAGAAAGCACTGAAGTTTTGCTGCACATGCGTGAAACTGCAGTGAAAAATGCTGAGCTTGAGAGTTCAGATGTGGATTCCCTGGTGACTGAACCAACACCCAAGCTGCACCACCACACTTAAGAGCTTGTGGCCGATGAGCCCGTACCTGTGCTGTCCCTACCCCTTGAGATGATCCTTCTAAAAAGGAACAATAAGCCAGGCATGGTAGTGCACCCCTGTTATCCAAACACTCAGGAGGTTGAGGCAGGAGGATCCCCACAAGTTCAAGGCCAACCTGAACTACCTAGTAAGACTGTCTCAAAAAACCAAGTAACTAAAAGCAAATACCTCTTAGATCAGAACAAAAGGTTGCACAGCAGAAAAAGATATCTCAGAAGAAAAAAAACATGGCACAGGAATAAATTCAGCATAAAATAGATGTAAAAAAGGGAGACATCCCAGAAATCATTAATATCAGGAATAAAATAGGGGCTATCACTACAGACTTTACAGACATTTTAAAAGTCAGGAAGAAAATAATACTATTTTATGGCAGTGAGTTTGACAAATTAAAGTGGAAAAGTTTCTCAAAGCTATAACATGAAAATAGCAAATTATGCACATTTATTTATGGATTAATGTAGACTTACAGAAAAGTTGCAAAATTAGCAAATATGGTTCTCTTCCACCTCTACCCAGGGTCTTTTGTTTGCTGATGGAAACCACTATGAAGTGG